CGCAGATTGCCATATGTTGCTTAGAATGATTAGGTAAATTAAAATGTCTAGCGACTGGTTTCGATGTGTCCTTGTCATTCCTTTCCACGTCTCGAAGGTGTTCTCGGAATCGGTCACCTAGTCTTCTGCCTGTTTCGCCGATGTATATCTTTTTGCAATAAGTGCAAGTTATGCAATAGATTACATTGGCGGAGGTGCACGTGAAGTGATCGGTGATCTTAATGGATCGTTTAGGTCCCGATATTTTATCAGTGTTGTGAATGAAAGGACACGTTTTGCATCGTGCACGAGCGCATTTAAAAGTGCCTGGTTGGTCATTAGTCTGAAAAGAACTTCTGACCAACAAATTGCCTATGTTTTTGTCGCGTTTGAATGAATACTACATTACTACCCACTACAGGCGTTACTACCCATCCTACCATAAATGGTAGGATGGGTAGTAATGCCTGTACATTTATTGCCTTGAGATTTGGCCATATATACTTTGCTAATGGTCTGCAGCCCCCAATTGCCTCGCAGCTGCAGAACAACTGGAAAGTGTCACTGATTGAAGCCATACTGAGTGGCAATGACATACATGATGACATTTTTGAAGGTGATGCAGTCAATGTAGCAGTAGACGATGCCATTGAAATTGCTGGGAGGAGTGCTTTGTGGACAAAATTGACCATCAGTATGACATCATTGGTGCAAATCCTGTGGAGCAGCTGAAAGACGTATTCAAAACACTTGCCATTGCCAAAGTTCAGAGCTGCCATGTAATAGTTACTGGTGGGCGATCGATGCTGCTTATAATCAATGGGGATGGGTCATCGATGATAACTGATTCTCACCGACACAAGACCACTGGTGCAATCATTGCTTTTACTGCTACTGGCCAGGCAGATTATCTGGCTCTTTGGTTTACAAGAATGCATTACGCTTCCTGGGCCATTTACATTGGTGCAACTTCCATAGTTTCTGTTTCTTATAACTAACAATGGAATCTTCTTTTGCCTATTGCACGCACATAAGTTTCGTTCTAAGACAGCAGATATTTAGAGTTACACGTGGGATGGGTGATTTCCGGGCGGCAGGCTAGCTCAAACGTATAAAGCGAAACCCATTTTATCCCAGATTGTGTCGTTCCAAGAGATATCCATACCTCCCCCATGAATTTTGTTGTTGTGAACCTTCCCCCCCCCCGGAATTTCCAGACAAGAGTAAACAAAATATAGTTCAAACAAGGATGAGCTACACCCCTTAGTTGAGAAAAATGAGAAACAGAAATAGTCAAGGGGCAAATACATATTTTTTTTTATTATGTATATAGAAATATAAATTATGAAGATTTTATTGATGGACAAACTTTGCAAAAATGAAAACTTTTATTGCTGTTAGTGTAACACACATTGTAAAAAGGGGTGCGTGACGTCCTGATAGTCACACAATGACTCATTGAACAGTTTGAAATGCCGATCAGATCTGCGCGAAAATAGTGAAAAACTTTTACAGGCGTCTCGTTCAATAAGACTACAACAGAAAAGAACGCGGCATAGAGAACGAAAAACGAATCGATTTACCATTAGATGTTAGGTCCTTTCTACATTTCGATGTCTCGAATAAGGCAGGCAATTACAAATCTTATTTGGTTATAGGAAAAAGCATCCTCAACCTCGTCTTTAACTGACCGCAATTTTCCATCACTGTTCTTGACGATGGCGGTCCTGATAACTTGAAACGCATCGTTATCGACTTGAAGATGGAACGCGAGCACGTTTTCATCGAGTGGTGCATTCGCCGCGAAGGAGTCGATAGCATAAACTTCCGCCGTAGCCAGCGTCACTTGCGTTTCACGGGCAATGGACTGGAAATCTTTTCCCTTCCGTAAATGCTCAACCACTGCAATCTTCGTATTTGAAGCAGGGTTTTTGCCGTACAGCATGAAAAGGTTTCGTTTCTGAAAAATATCAAGAGGATTCCATTAGGTACTTCGATGTTAAGAATCTCGTACTGTATTCGATACACTGTGCGCATTAGTAGTTTGTACAATCCATCTGGGAAAACCAAATACTGAAATACAAAATGTCTTCATGTTCTCTTACTACTGAGTTATGCCAGTACTTAAAACCTACTCACCAGGGGATAAAATCTTGGCCGCTTTGAACTGGCGCAATCCTCTTTTTCATTTTCATCCCGCGCGTGTCTCTTTCTAAGGAAAATAAAAAATCAGGGTTTGAGTAACTTCATTTATATTTTCCCAAACGAGGTGGACTTCTCTAAAGAAAAGTTACCTATAGGCCATAGTTTGGTTAACCAAATTTCAGTTTGCAAACCAGTGCTGAGAAATAAGACTATGGTCTTGCGCACGTGTTGCGAGTTTCGCGACGACATGTCATCCGATTCCGGGAAACTGAGGTGAGATAATCTTCCAAACCGCACCAATGGCGTTTGATGATCAGTAATGCACGTCTATGAAAAAAAGAAAGCAGGCCTCTTTTGACAGATTATATTTTTCTGAATGAAGAAATCATTCGCAAAACTGGTTTTCCCCACATAAATATTCAAAAACGTTAACTGGAACATACATATATGTTTATGAACGATTGTCGGCCCTTGCGTCTTTAACTTTAATGGAGTATGAGCCACAAAATTTCGAACCAAAGATTTGAATTTGGCGCTTATTTCCGTTTATCCAATAACAAGCGTTGTTTTGTAATTTTCTCGGCATCGTGGCAAACGGCTCTCGCTGCCGGATTCCCGCTGGTTTTACTATAGTTCTTACGCGGACCATTACTTAAATACTAGAGAACGAAATACAATAGGCTTAGCATAAACTACGCCATGCAAGGAATGGGTTTATTCAGTAGGAACACTATAAAACGAAATACAAATACCTGAAAAATAGCGACGACATAAATGATCGGATGTATCTAACATCTCTACTCGTGCCGGTTGAAGCGCGAAACATACATGTGACACGAGATCGAAAAAACAATTACATTCCACAAAAAAGTCATAATGATTATATACAATAAAGAGTTCGCGATCTGAAAGAATACCTTGTAAGAAATACTTTAGAAAATAAAATAGATGCCTGCATTCCCAAGCAGAAAAAGTAAACAATGAAGGTGTCTAGGAACAAAAATTATAAAGGGAAATGAACAAAAGCGAATATCGCGCCAACCATTCCTAGAGGCACTTCCTAACCAAATTAGATTTGGATGAATGGGAGGGTAATGAAACATAGTTATTGTAGTTCGCAGATCACATATCGAAATTATATGGTTCTGTCCTGGTGTACCGGTTCACAAGGGAATTACCATTGTTCTTTCTTTGTTTAGGAGTCATTGGTTAGCTATTGTGTATTGTTCGGTCTTTTGTAACGGCTCTTGTGAACCGGTACACGAGGACAAAATCAAATATATTATTAAAAACTCGTGTATCTTCAAAGTATACATGCAAACAAAAATGGTTTACGGTGTGAAAAAGGAACTCTGAAATAAAATTCAAACGATTCTGCTCCTTGCAAATTTGTCTAAAAAGATGAAAAAAACAATAGGTATTACCTAAGGGATTGATACAAGTGTAAATGCAGACGGATCGATTGTGAAGTAATGGTTAATGGTAGCAAAGGGATTTAGAGAGGATTAGGTGGCGGTATGACAAACGCATGCAAAGAGTCGGGTAATATGTAAATATGAAAAAATTTCCATAAGCCGCGAGGTGTTAGTCGGTGACTAACTCGCAACGAGTGTTGAAAAAATATTGATGTGATTCGAAGAGAAGACGTGGTTGAAATGAACTGAAGCGAAAGTTAGCGTCTTCTATATATTTTTTCACTGAGTCGTGAGTGACAGGTGTCAAAAATATCACAAATTGATTACATTACCAGCCATTCATTTGCTGTCAATCATACGGAGGACGCAGTAAAATTAATATTCTACCGTTAAAAAGATTAAAATATGATTGGATATATACCCACGCCGCGGCCCAACGTGGGGACGCTATAATTTCCCTATATAACTAGCAGAGGTTCTAGCGTCAGTACAGAAGTTGATTCCTCCAGCTAGAAGTCGAGAGAAGAAGTCGAGAGAAGAAGCCAGAAGAAGAGCAAGAAGAAGTAAAAATCATGCCCAACATTAACGTAAGTGTTTGTATGCATAGAAGTGCAATGCTTTCCAAACGATAGTTTGGAAAGCATTGCTAGATTTGCAGACGCCGACACATTACAGCGAATTGTAAACAGAGTAGATTTGTACCTTCAAGACGCCAAACAACCGCTATCGGACTACGAAACACGTGACGTAGTCGAAAAGAGAAACGAGAAATTTAAAGCCGTGTTGGAATATACAAAAGTGGTAGTCGAACGTGAACTTTCTAACGAGAAGGATGGCCATGAATGCGGTAGAAAGACAGAATTACATCGTGGACAATCCAAAAGTATCCGTGTTGGAGATTGAAAGTATTTTGGATATCATTTCGTTTGCCGACGAGGATTCTTTAAGGAGAATGATGCGACACGCTCGCGCTTATATGAAA